CGACGGTACGTACGTTAATTACTAACTACTATAGGTAGTACGTACTATATATATATATATATATATATATATATATATATATTTAGGACATGTATTACTCTCTCGTCCGCTTGTCTTCTCACAGCTTCAGCTTCCCGAATTTCCGGTATATCTCTTCTGACCAAGCCGTGAACAGTTCGATGGTCTTGGGGTCGCCTGGCGGGTTGATCTACACAACATCAGCGAAAGCCTGCAGGCCGCCACTTGGGATTTGAAGGAGGAAGCTTACCTGACTCCCATAGATCCCCGACATGCCCCCAAGGCGATCGACAAACCAGATCAGATTCGGGTACCCGCCCCAAGTCATCGTCCCCCTCTTCCTCCCCACCACATCCTCCATCAGCAACAACCCGCCCAAGCCAAAGTTAACCTCCGTCCCGAGCGGATGTCCCCCAAAGATATTGTTCAGCTCGGGCATCTTCATCAGCTCCATCAGTCGCTCCTTCGACGCACTCGCGAGCTGTGGCTTGAACATCTCGTCCACCGTCTCCTTCTTTAACAGCTTCCCGCCATCGGCCAAGATGCTATGCAGCATCTTCTGATAGTCTAACGGGGCCCCGTAGCCGCCTGCGCCCCCAGAATACCCCCTCGGCTCCATGTTCCAGATCATGTTGTCGGTGTACTCAATCTTCCCATCAGGCTTGGCCGTGGTCCCAAACCTATTCAGCCCACCTTCGCGTTGGCTCATGTCCGTCATCTTACAGAGGACGGCTGGATTCTTCTTTGGGAAAAACGAAAAGCTGGTGACGCCCAGCGGCACCCAGATGTTCCTGTGGATGTAGTCCTCGAGGGTCACGTTGCCGTTGACGCGCTCCACCATCCACCCCGCCCAGTCGATGCCGACGCCATAATCCCAGGACTCGCCAGGGGCAAAGAGAAGAGGTGGTGTATAAGCTTGCTTCATGTCGAGCTTAGTATTCATCTCTGGGGATTTGCCTTGCCACTTTCGGTAGCGCATCAATACTGGATCTAGGGGTTCCCATCAGCAATCATCTCCTCTCAAATGTAGAAGAAGAAGCACACTTACTGAAGAAGTCATACGAGAGACCCGAAGAGTGCGTAAGTAGATGCCTGCTCGAGTCAGAAACTCCCATTTTACAACCGATTGGCATTGGAACTTACCTCAAGGTGATAGTCTTCGTGTTCTTCACCAAGACCGGCGAATCCTTCCCATCAACTTTCTCAAACCCAGTCAGGATCTGCATATCTCTCAACTCCGGCAAAACACCCGTCACATCTTCATCCAGGCTCAGCAATCCGCGCTCCACGCACTGCATGGCAGCAACAGTGGTAATCAACTTCGTGCAAGAAGCGAGCCACATGGTCGCATCGAGCTGCATTGGGTCCGGGCTGGCGGGATTCTGGAGCGACCGGTAGCCAAAGGCTTTCTCGTATCGAAATGTCCCTATGTGTGATTTAGCCATCTGTGCCCTGAGAACCGCCGCGTATCTGATCTGATCTGATCTGATAGAGTGCGAAAGTATAATCCTACCTTCTCTATCCCCAGCGACCAGCACCGCACCGGGAATCAAACGGCTATCAACCGCCTCCTGCATCTTTTTCTCGAAAGCGCCCGCCATGACCGCGCGATGATGGAAGTCCGTTCCCGCTCTCACCCAAATTTCGTCTATCTAGCTACTTATTCAATTTCAAAGCAAGGACGAAATGGAATTGACGACCCTGATCAAGATATCGACAATGCTGTGCTGGCCCCCACTCTCCGGGGTTGACAGCTACCGTCGGTGGCGAGTCCTAGACCTGGATGGCGAGCAGAGCTCGTAGTATGATTCAATCAATTCCGTACGTTGAACGAGGATTCCTACTTCGAGAAAGAGAAAGATACGATTTCCCACCACTGGGAATGAGAAGCTTTATAGCTGCCTACTCCGTATATGCCTATATATGCATATATAATATGCATATATAATATGCATATTAATCACCTACCAGATCTCCAATCATGATCCACTCAAGCTGCCAGTAAATGGGGTCTCATCCGAGATACATACCTAGGTAGGCTAGGCAACGTCTAGTCACTACCGGTAGACAGACAGGGCCTCCCTTCCCTGCTGCCATTGCTTTTTCTCGCAAGACCCTCGACTTTGGGAATTGATTCTTGATCGATCGCGGGAAGAGAGGAATATCGATTGTGCTTGATGAGAAGAAGGGAAAAGCAGGACCGGTTGTGACCTTATGGGCGACGTTGATTTTGAGCTGGAGAAGCTGGTTCAGCTACTAAGTATATAGTTTCTTTATAATGCCCTTCGAGGTCGGGTATTGACGTATACCAATCAACCTAAACACGTAAATATACAAGAAATGCACTGGTTCGTTTTTGATGCTGTAGACACTAAAGGCGAGGGCAGGGCAGGGCACGATTTCCTGACAGTATGAACTTGAGCCTTGGAAGATGCATATCAGTCAGTCAGCTCTCCCCGGATCAAGAACTAGGTAAAGTTATGAGCCCCGCTGTGGCCATCGAATGGACTCATCGTAAAGTGAGGTAAGGTGAGGTAAGCTATCATGGCATTGGTGTTTATCTATGGGTGGACGATAACTGGCAGAACTGCTCTCCTTCCTACCCCACCACCTTCTATAACCACAGGAATACTGGGCAAAAAGGGCTACTCTCTCTTCTCAATGAGACCAAAAGACAATGGTCAGACAAAAGAAAAAGGGAAGAAACATAGGGGGACCAAAGGAACGGATCGGGTCATGAACGCCTCCATTTACCTCGTAAGAGAAAGCCGTCTATCTCTCGGATCCAATTGCCAGCATTACTGTTCAGTAGGCACTATCTGATATCGTGTCATTACTCCCTTGTCCGAAAACGCCGCGCCAATCATGCTCATCGGACTCCATACTCTCGCGTTCCGCCCAGGAGCGACATAAATACATCCTTGCAATCAAGCTCCAACCAGGCCGGGACACGAGGCTCCCAGCCAGCCGAGTACGCAACCAATCAATCGAGTCAACTTTTGGTGTCGCATGGGCGACAAGAATTCGGCTGTAGGTGTGATCAGCCCATGCCAACATACTTGAACCAGTTCGGCCGGCAGTCTTCTTTCATAAGCCAGGACTCGCCGTCCGTGAAGCGACCCGTCATACACCCTTTGCATTTAGGTGAGTTGGGACAGTTGAAGTAGGGGATGTGTTGGTAGCCAATGTCTCGGAACCTGTGTCTCTCATCAGCAACCATCCACTAAAGCGATCCGTTCAAGTCGCCTGATTAAGGGGACGTTGCCTTACCAATGAATTTTGCTCGAGTCCTCAAAAAGCCCCAGCGCAATACTATGCACCGGCGCATCACCCCACCTCTCATAGAAGAACCCACCCGCGCGATCCAAATGGTTGAAGTAATCCTCATACGCTTGGCTTCGCCAAAAACTCATATCTGCGATTTCAAAGTTGGACCAGAAATGGCACGTCGAGTATCCGTTCGCAATCATGTTGTGCTCAGGCCTTCTTACGCTATCCGACAACCAGGCCATCGCATTGTTTTCATGCAGGTATTCCGGGTGGGCAGCCACGAACTTGGTCGTCTCAGGCCATAATGTTGGAATGGACTGCGGCGCATCGTAAAGGTTGATGGTGAAGCCGTAGGTCTTGTTGTGGTCGGCCATATAGCGGAAGACGTCGTAGTCGACGTCGCAGAAAAAATGGACCTTGGGCTCAACGCGCCAGTAGAACTGTGTATTGGCTAGAGCGGGGTGTTTGTAGAAGAGGCCGCTGTTCCAGCGACACATCTGGTGGTAGGATTTCATTTCGCCGTACTGGATATCATTCTCTTTGAGGATTTTGGCGGATTCTTGGAAGAGCTCTTCATCGATCCAGGAGGGAACATCCCAGTGTTCTTTCGGGATGGTTTCTAGATATTTGTGTCAGCAAGTTCCCTGCCTACGTCGTTCCAGTATAGTCATACCATATATACACTCAGCCTTCGTCTCTGCCTGCGTGAGCTTTTTAAACTCCTCTGAGAACGGAACGTCGTTGAAGAATGTCCACGGATAGTTGAATTTCGAATTCCACGTCCTCTCAAGGTCCCTCATAGCTTGCACCATGCCTTCCACCTCCTCGTTGCGCACCAGCGCCAGCAGTGTCGCATTTATTCGACTCGTCCCCTCGGCGCCCAAACCATAGCCTCTATCGGCCCTCCATAACACGCCTTCTGGTTCTCCTGTAACTATGTAGGATTTTAGCACCATATTCGCATACGAATGGGATAACAAGTCGCATACGGTCCAAATTCGGGTCTCTGTCCATGTTCGCCAGAGTATCCCCAGGCCCTTTGGGATGCTTCGTCGGCCCAAAGATCTGGTATAGGAAGAAGATCCAAAGACCTACTGCTGCCAGGCCAAGCACTCGGATGGGTTTTGCTATTGCCATGTTGTGTGGAGTGCTGTTGACAATTTTGACAAAATTCCCTTGGTCGCGCACCAAACCTGTCGAGGAATCGAAATCCTCCCTAACTTCAACAGTTTGCTCGGCCGATTTCGTCAGAGATACGCTTAGTAAGCCGGCGCGTCCCCCTGCCCGGCGCGTCTTTGAGGGTTTCTGTGCTTGACCTTCTTACAAAATTATTGAAGACCAGAGACCGAGATACCAACGCGATGGCGCACATTGCTAAGCTTGGTGTGCTGACAGATGAGCTGGTCACATTGATCACTTCAGTCACAGCAAAGGTACATATTACTCTGATTCTTCCGGATCTGCTATTCCCTTTCAGAACATTCTACATCTGTTCTTGGGATCCCCCTTGACTGATGATTGAACGCAGTCTGACCCGACGAGATTTAGCGTGCACCGAGAGAGTGCCCTGAGAGCTTTACGTTTCCATAATCATCCTCGCACGAACCAATTCGATGTCACCAGCCAACTCGACGGCCTGGAAGAGAAGTTCCGGATATACAACAAAGACCCGCTGGCAGACGCTTTACGGGAACGCCGCGAACGACTGGAAGCCCTCGAAGAGAAGTTGACGCCTGAGATACTGTCTCTGCTGCTGGAGCTGTCTGACCAGCCAGTCGCCAAATCGAACCTGGAAGACCTATTCCGCCTCAAAGAGCCCGTGCTGGATACAAGACCGGTGCTGAAATGGAAAGATCTTGTAGCAGAGGACCCCCTTCTACGCGAGAAAAGTGTCTGGAAAAATGTTGATTTTGGAGCAGAGGATTCAGAGGATGGAATTGAGGACTCACGATCGGATTTATCTGGAGCAACTGATACTACCACACTATCGAGCGTTGAAGAAGAGTACATCCGTCGGCCGGATGAGCATGCTGTCATTACGCTTGATAGGCAGGGCTTGGATAATCTACGGGACCAGCAATTTTGGCAGAAAATACCTACCATTTCCGGGGTGCCGCTGGAGACAGTTAAGAGGCCCATAACTGAGCTTCAGGCGGTCCGGGAAGTTCTATTTATGCTAGGTGGATTACCCAGTTCCCTGTTTGACAACGATCCAAGAGAGTCAACATTCGTTAGGCCGTTCAAATGCTTTGCTCTCAAGCATGCATCTGCAGAGGCATTCTATAAAATTGTAAAGTCCTTTGCCGACGATGGATCACGTCTCAGTCATCTACGGCAGTGGGTCAACCAAGCTCGGTCTACACCGATAATGCAAGTTTTTGAGGGCGCCTTAACACAGCGGATCATGGAGTTTGATGCCCGCCTCTCAAGAATCCAGCAAAACCTTGTCTCGCCTAACGAGGACATTGTTGTCAGTCTACTTGGTGTCCAAGCAGAACTAGCTCCCCATATTCTGGCTTTGGTTCGAATTTCGGATATCACCAAGAGACTCGATGCTGAGCCCTATTCACATGCCTTTAGGCACCTGGAATTGCTTTATGACGAGACCTGTATATTCCAGATGGCTGGAGATGAGGCAATGTATGCTTTCATGGGTCGTATATTTTTCGAATGCTTTCAGGTGTATCTACGGCCAATCCGAGTCTGGATGGAAGAGGGAGAGTTGACGAAAGACGACAAAGTATTCTTCGTTTCGGAGACATCGGGCGAGGTGGATCTAAACCTCCTGTGGCAATATCGATATCAGATCCGGAGAACGCAGACTGGTATTTTACACGCACCTAGATTTCTCCATGCTGCCGCCAACAAGATCTTCAACACTGGAAAGAGTGTGGTGGTCCTGAAGCATCTCAATCAGTACGAATCGTTCAGGTCTACGGGAGGAGACTATGAGCCGACACTGGATTTTGATACCGTTTGCGACTTTTCGGTTCGACTTGCTCCATTTTCAGAGCTTTTCGATACGGCTTTCGACGGGTGGGTCCAAAGCAAGCATCATCTCACGTCTTCCATGCTCCGAAAAACATTGTTTGATTCATGCGGTCTTCAAACAGCGCTCGATGCGTTCTCCCACATCTACTTCATGGCCGATGGTATCACAGCTTCGGCGTTCACGAACACTATATTCGATAAACTTGACACTCTGAATCCATCTTGGAATGACCATTTCACACTTACTGAGCTGTCCCGAGGCACATTCGGCTCGATAAAGTCAGTGAACCCCGATAGGCTTCGGACGACCGTCCTATCAATCCCTCGCAAGCACAGAGACGTCGTGAGCTGTAGGAGAACGGTAAAGGCCCTGGCGGTTCTGGAATTCAAGTACCATCTCTCTTGGCCAATCCAGATCATACTCACACCATCATCAATATCCTCATACAAGCGAATCTTCACATTCCTCCTCCAAATCCGTCGGACCTCACATATCCTATCTCGCCAACGCCTCGTCAGGGACCTTCTTACGACTAACGGCAGCTCTGACGAGCGAGCGCTGTACTACTCATTGCGAACTGCGCTCCTATGGTTCACGCAAATGCTGTACTACTACCTCACATCACTCGTCCTGGAGCCTTCATCGCAGAAGATGAGAGCGGATCTCAAGGAAGCTGTAGATGTCGATGCCATGATTGAAGCGCATTCGGCATACATCAAACAAGCTACCGACCAGGCACTCCTTGGAAGTAAGCTGGAGCTTATCCACAGAACTATCCTCAAGATTCTCGATCTTGGTATCAAACTCGAAGACGCACAAGCAGCAAACGCAGTTACCAACAAAGAAGCGCTGGAGCAGCAAGAAGAAATGATGGACCTTTCAATGGCAAGTCTCGGCCTCCACACACCGCGACGGAAGACCAAGGAATTCCTGCGCACATCCAAATCAGGCAAGAAAGATATGGACTCCAGTTCGGAAGAGGAAGAGGATGCCGATGTTGATTTGAGTATCCTGTCCTCGGCTTTGGGCGACGAGACGGAGGAGCTATCGTATCTGGAGAAGCTGAGGACTCTGAAGGCGGAATTCGATAGGCTTGTTCGGTTTGTGGCTAGTGGCTTGAAGGGAGTTGCGAGGGCTGGGGGAGGAGAGGCCGCGAAGAGCTGGGATGCGCTGGGGGAGATTCTGGAGTCGGGTTTGGCGACGGGGAATCCGGGCTACAGGTGAACGCCACCGCCCGATGGACCCGTAATACTTTTCATGATAAACATGCGTAAGCGTTCGAAGCCATAGTTCCTTCGTACTTCAGACTCGTCCCCAAACGAGAGAAAAAGAAAGGGGTGGCTAGGCGACAGGCACCAGGACGTTCAAATCACATGACCAGGCCGAACGACGGGCTCTGTTTGAACCCGCTGCTGTATGTATTATTCAGCGGGGTATCAGATGATTACAGTGCTCACGTGAACTCTGCCCCTTGTACGGAAATTGCCACAATAGTCATCCGCTTCCCTCACTTCACAAATCACAACCCATCATCCATCCGATTCCTACGCAAACCCGAGCACCTCTGGATCCTCTTGATCGTCAGAACGCTTGCTGCCTTCTATCTTCTATCTTCTACCTTCTACCTTCTATCTCCTATCTTCTATCTTCTATCTCGGTCATGGTCAAAGTCAGGTCAATCAGCCGAAGAGCCAGCCGGTTAGAAGGCGGCTCTCAATCGATGTCGATGATACGCCCTTCGGCCCCTTGCCCGTTATTCCGTATTTCCTTCCTACTTATCGGTGAAAGAGGCATTGATAAGTCCGTACCGAGCCGACGCGCCGGCCAATGAGCACAGACATTCCCCATGTTTTTTCTTGCTTTGTCACGGTTCCAGATCTGTAAGCCACCACGTTCTATCTTGCCCTTATCAGGAAGCTGGGTTGCCTGGGCCTCCTGCATCGAATGTTGAGAGTATACTCTTTCTTTGTTTGCTATTCATCTTTTCATTTTTCCATTTCAACTATCAAGATTCCGGATCTTGATGAAGATATCTTGTGTTTCCGTTTTACTTACGTCATTTGATACCTGGGCTGGTTGATAAAAGCTGTGTACCGGTAAAGTGTTGCAAAGATGGCGGACTTCGAATTCGTCTCCAAGGGCGTAATGGGGGAGGTAGACAGCGGCCTCAAACCGCCGTTGGATCTCAGTCATCACTTCTCGAGGGTGACGGCTGCGAGGAAGGAGAGCAGCGTCAAGAAATTCTATCAGTATTTCCAGATCCCAGGGATTGCGAATTTGGCTGGAGGTATGTGAAGTCCCAACACTTCTGATGGTTGAAGGTGGAGGGTTTGATATACCCATCTCGAGTTACACAGTATTGATAGGTACCCGTGTGCAGGTCTCCCAAATGCAAAATTATTCCCCTTCGACACTCTAGAAGCTCAAATCGCAAAGCCAGAGCGCTGGACACCGACTCCCAACGACCCCAACGACCCATCTCAAGACCTCGCCACCAAGCTCCAAAAGGCGACGCTGAAGTCCGACACAGATGCCGGAGCTTCCACACATATCACTGTGCCGCATGAATCAGCGGTGAAAGACATGATGCAGAAGATTGACGTTACGACTGCGTTGCAATATGGCACTGCGCAGGGCTATCCCCCTCTCTTCTCCTTCCTGCGCCAGTTCTCACGCAACGTCATGCATCCCAATGTTCCGTATGCTGGGGGCCCGGAGATCAACCTAACGGTCGGCAGTACGGATGGTATGGCGAAGACGCTGGAAGCGTTCACGGATGTGTGGAGCGAGGAGCGGGATTGGATACGTGAGAGGCCCGGTATGTTATGCGAGGCCTTTGCGTATATGAATGCACTACAATCTGCGGCGCCGAGAGGTGTGGCCATTGTGCCTGTCACCATCGATGCTGAAGGTATGTTGCCAACTGGATCTGGAGGTTTGGAAGATGTGTTGGAGAATTGGGACGAGTCGAAGGGGAGAAGGCCGCATTTGATGTACACCGTGACGTGAGTTTGTGCCGCTTCGCTTGCGATGTCTTACTCACTGGCTTGTGTAACAGCATCGGGCAAAATCCAACTAGTGGAACGCTGTCGGTACAACGCCGGAAAGATCTATACGCCATTTGCAGTAAGTACGATGTCCTCATTATCGAAGACGATCCATATTGGTACCTTCAATATCCTTCCGCGGCCAGTCTTGAGGCAGAGGCGCGGGGGCTCCCTCCTCCATCTCCGCAACCTATCCACCAGTTTGCGAAGAAATCGGGATACCCGTTCATCGACAGTCTCGTGCCATCCTACCTCAATATAGATACAGATGGCCGCGTGATCCGTCTTGACACGTTCTCTAAGACTGTCGCCCCAGGATGCCGCGTAGGATGGATTACTGCCCAACCAGCAATCGTTGAGCGCATCCTCCGCATCACCGAGTGCTCTACCCAGCAGCCCTCTGGCTTCGCGCAATCCATGCTCTCAGAGCTCATCATGGGCGCCCAGCCCACCATGGCCGAGTTCAAGACCAAGTCCAAGGGAGACCAGCTATCCTTTACAGGCTGGCAAACCGACGGCTGGGTCCGCTGGCTCGCTGGTTTGAGAGGGAGCTACGAGCGCCGTATGAACGCTATGTGTGCCCATCTTGAGGACGGTCGCTTCCTGCTCAAACAGAAGAAGCCGATGCGATCAGCCGACGCGGATTGGGCTGTGATTTCCAAGACGAAGATGTACTCGTTCGACTGGCCACGCGGTGGGATGTTTGTGTGGCTTCACATGCACTACGATACGCACCCCCTCGCCGGCATTGTTCCTGGACCCAAGATGTCTGAACTACTCTGGATCTTCCTGACAACGAAGCCATATTTGGTGTTGGCAAGTCCGGGGGCGGTGTTTAGTCCCACGGAGGAGATTAGGGCTGAGAAGGGATGGCAGTATTATAGACTGTGTTTTGCGGCTGTGAGTGAGGAGGAGGTGGAGAAGAGCAGTAAGAGGTTTGCGGAGGGCGTCAACGCGTTCTGGATGATTAAGGACAAGAAGGAGATGGAGGGTATTGAGGGGAGTGTCGATATGGAGATTCTGGAGAGCGAGGTTACGAATTTGGGGATGATGATGGCTTGTTAATCGGATGGTTTCTTGGGTATATGCATGTATTGCTACATGGTGGCATCGGGTCTGGTTTGTGATCAGCAGTTTAGATCGAGAAGAAATTGAGTCAAGATAAAATGATCAGCTTTGGTAAGTTTGGCGGATTCTGGCCGCATCAGCATGAGCATATTGAATAGATAAAGTGACGGTTACACACAAGTCTCATCATCAGTTCCACGAATATCGTGCTGCTCAAGTGCTTGAGTTTTTTTTTATTGACTTGCCCTTGAGCAGTTCCATAAACGAGCCCCACCAAAAATCTTGCCATCAAACCCCACCATCACCATCACCTCTCCTTCTCCCACCTCACATATCAAACACCATATCCTCTCAAGCTTCCACCCTTTCACCTCACAACTACCTATACTCTCCCCCCAATCCATTATACAAATATCAACAATGGAGAAAATTACCGCTAAAATCGCGGCCCTGCCCCCAGGCTCCTCCTACTTCTCCCTTGAGTTCTTCCCCCCGAAAACAACCATGGGCTCCTCGAACCTGCGCGCACGCCTCGACCGTATGTCGCGCGCCCTACGCCCGTTGTTCATCACAGTCACCTGGGGCGCCGGCGGATCTACCGCCACCAAATCTCTCGAGCTCGCGGAGCTTTGTCAGCGCGAGCTAGGTCTCACGACATGCCTGCACCTCACATGTACGAACATGAGCCGGGCATTGGTAGACCAGGCGCTGGAAGACGCAAAGGCGCTAGGGATTAGGAATATACTTGCCTTGCGGGGTGACCCGCCGCGCAGCGAGGAGTACAGGGAAGTGGATGAGAAGGGGCAGAGCGCGGGCGCCGCCATGGAGGAGGAGTTTGAGTGGGCGGCGGATCTAGTCAGGTACATCCGCAAGCAGTACGGGGACTACTTCTGCATCGGCGTGGCGGCGTATCCGGAAGGCCACGCGGACGAGAGCGATCCCAATGGCCAGAGCCTGGAGCACGACATGCAGTATTTGGTGGGCAAGGTTGCTGCGGGGGCGGACTTTATCATGACGCAGCTGTTTTTTGATGTGCAGGCTTATGATGCGTTTGAGAGGAAGTTGAGGGAGCATGAGAGTGAATTGTTTAAGACGATTCCGATTATACCGGGCATGATGCCTATTCAGAGCTACCAGATGATCATGCGGACGACGAAGCTGAGCCATGCGAGGATGCCGCCGGACGTTATGGGGAGGCTGGATGAGGTGAAGGGGGACGACGAGATGGTCAAGAAGGTCGGCGTGGATATCGTGAGTGAGATTGTCACGCATATCCGGAGACAGCCTGCGCCTGGATCGAGGGGATTCCATTTCTATACGTTGAATTTGGAGAAAGCAGTGTCATTCATTCTGGAGAGGACGAATCTAATTCCTCCTATACCATTAGACTCGGAATCAGCAATCCTGGATGTCTCATCTTCTTTGGGATCTCTTCAGGTTAACGGATCGTCTCACAAACGGGCTTCCCGACGCCTAAGCTCCATCGGCTCAGACCCTCACAACAGAGTCATTGTAAGCGGGCAGAAAGCCACGAACCCAGATCGAGAGGCCACCGCCGAAGAAGCTGGTGTTCCTGCGGAACCTATCAACACGCGTGCTAACACGCTCGCCATCTCCGAGGGCGAAGGCTCCCTCGGTCGCGAAGCCACCTGGGACGACTTCCCCAATGGCCGCTGGGGTGACGCCCGCTCCCCCGCCTACGGCGAAATTGACGGCTACGGCGTCTCGCTGCACATGTCCGTCAACCAGGCCATTAAGCTCTGGGGCTTCCCGACCTCCGCGGCAGACATCACCTCCCTCTTCATCCGGCACATCGAAGGCTCTCTCTCCGCTATCCCCTGGAGCGAAGAGGGTCTCAACGAGGAAACCAACACGATAGGATCCCAGCTGTTGAAGCTCAACCAGAAAGGATGGTGGAGCGTAGCTTCCCAACCAGCCGTCAACGGCGTTAAGTCCTCTGATTCGATTTTCGGGTGGGGACCCAAGAACGGTTTCGTGTTCCAAAAAGCCTTCGTGGAGCTCTTTCTCCCGTCTTCAGACTGGGCGACGCTCCACGCTAAACTCGCATCCGCTGCCACCGCGCCTACGGTCTCCTGGTACGCGGCCAACGCGACGGGGGAATTCCTCTCCTCGTTCCCGAACTCAGATGCGGATAATAGGAGAGAGGGAGGGGCAGGTGGCAGCACGAACGCGGTCACGTGGGGAGCATTTCCCGGCAAGGAGATCATCACGCCGACGATCATCGAAGAGGTGAGCTTCCGGGCCTGGGCGGAAGAGGCGTTTAGCATCTGGGCCGAGTGGGGTCGCGTGTATCCGATGAGGAGCGCTACGAAGGCGTGTATCGATGCGGTGGCGGGAGATGTGTGGCTGGTTAATGTTATTCACCATGAGTATGTTGAGAAGGAGGGTTTGTGGGAACTTTTACTCTCGACGTAGTAGGTAGGAGGCGGGGAACGAGAATATTTGGTTGGCGAGGGAGGCTGGACGATGGGGCTGTGATTAAGGAATGGGCAGCAACATTTTACCTCTGCATTTATGGAGTCGGTTTGGTTTGGCTTGTTTATGTATGTATGTACTGATAGGATGGGATCTGGTCGAGTAGATAGGGTCAGGTCGGGTCGGGAAGGGCAAGGGCAAGGGTACTACTGTAGCAGGCGAACGGAACGGCGTTCTGGGACTATAGATAGAAAGATACGGCACGGGGAGATATTTGACTTTTTGAATGTTGTGAGCTGGCTGGTTTGCGAAAATGGAGAAAATGGAGAACATTGAGCTTGCCACGAACTTGTTTTCACTTGTTGATCGATATCGAGGGTTGAGGACGGGGTGTGGTGAAGGGGGGGGTGTGGGTGTGGGGGAGGTGAGTGAGTGGTATGATGGTTGTTTGAAGAGAGAGTAGGGGATGGGAAAGGGGGTAGAAGAGGGGAGAGGGAAAGGGAAAGAAAAAGGGAAGGGGAAAGAAAAAGGTAAAGGGAAAGGGAAAGGGAACATCAGTTGCAATCAGTCGTCATCATTGCAGCTGAGAAGGAAAGCCGGGAGCTGAAAGTGAGTGAGGGAGGGAGGTGGATCGATCGGCTTCCTTCCTTCCTTACTTACTTACTTACTTACGGCTCGCGCGTACGTGTTTGTGTATGTGACAAGTAGCGCGGACGAAGGTTTTATCACGTAGGATGGGATGGATGGGAGGGGATGGGAGGGGATGGATGGGATGGATGGGATGGATGGGATAAGGGAGATATTAGTAGATCAGATCATCATCATCATCAGATCAGATCAGATCATCATCACACATCACACACCCGTCAAAAGAAGTAAAGTAAACGAAAGAGCAAGAAGAGTAAGTAGAGAGAGGAGGAGGAGGGGGGGTAGAGGAAAGAAACGCAAGCGTCCATTGATATGTTACGCGTCCCCTATCGATCTGCTTCGTCTGCTCATCTGATCGATCACCAACCCAACCCAACAATGCCATGCCACCACGCCACCATGCCACCATGCCACCAAATCCATCCATCCCACCGGAAAACCCAGATCCAAACCCATCCTAAGCCGATCAGCAAGTCCATCGAGCACAGCCGAAGAGAGAAGGAGAAAAAGGAAAAAAAATTAGCCCGATCCGTCGCGCAAGCACTTAAGCCCAGTTGACGAACATGCAAGGAAAGGACGTTTTTTTTTTCTCTCTTTTTCTTCTCGCGCCCGGGGGTGAAGGGTGTGAAAAAGTGGTTGAGGTGACGCAGGGAAGGGACGGAGATGCGGGGGAAGAATTTGCGTGGTGTGTGCAAAGTAGGTAGGAGAGAAAGTCGCGACGGAGTCTGGAAGAGAAACGGGGGATGAAATAAGAAAAAATGTGTGCATTGCTGCCACAAGCAGATCATGAAAAGCGCGGCGATCCGGAACCAGTAAGACCGTGTGAGGTGACGGTTAACACGCGTTGAAAGGGGAGACGGAAGATTGAAGAGGCGAAACCGGACCGGACCGTGAGATATCGAGGAGTGCTGTATGGCGACGCGGAGACCACATCAAGGAATGCGAGAAGGCGAGGTATTTCTTCTTGTCGGCATCCGAGGAGCAAGGGATGTCTTTTCTTGGTTCGATGATGGGTAGCAAAGCGAAGATTCAGATCCCGGGACGTGCAGACGGAGGTGGCATCTAGACTTCGAGAGCGTCGTTGAATTCAGTCTCATTCTCGTCGTCACCACCATCCTCGTGATAGGTGTTGCCGTTGTCCTTGTTTGTAGGGGATTCGACGCCGTACTGAGAAGAAGAGAGGTATTAGATTCTTGCTTACTTGCTTGCTTGGGCAGGAGTTGGATCGGGGGAGGAAAGGGACGGAGAGGAGAAAAGAAAAAGAGAGAACATACCATGTCGTCATCATCCTTCACGATCTCATCCTTGACGACACGCTCATCGACTTCCTTGTCCTCCTCAAAATCGTCCTCCGACTCGGCATAACGCGGAGCCTTGGCGGCGGCAGCACGCTTGGGAGTTGATTTCTTCTGGACTCGGCCACCCTTGGTCTTGTGCAAAGCAGACTTCTTAGTGGGGGTCTCAACCTCCTCCTCATCGTCCTCATCATCATCGTTGTCCAACTTCATGCTCTTTGCTGACTTCTGTTTGGGTCTTAGCTTTTGCCAAACCCATCTTAAGTATCGAAGACTGTGCAAAGAGAAGAATCAGAGGGAAAGTATGCATACCTTGGCAGGAGTGCGGGGCTTGGATGGGGTCTTGCGAGCGGAACCGCCGTCCTCACCAGCGACAGCTATCAGAATACACCCGTTAGCAAATGTTTCTTCTGGATCAGATGACGGTTGTTGTTGACGGGGATGACGGTAAGAAAAATCGACCCAAGGAAACGGTGTGGTAGGAACTGGAGGTCGAGCCGCGTGTAGATTGTGTGTAGAGATAAGGCTACCAGCGTTCATAGCCGCAGCTTGCTTCTTGATGGGTCTGAAGGCATGCTGCAGAGCGTACTCTGAGGTGCCGTCGTTGAGTCGGACAGCCATTGCTAAGAAGGGTTAACTTCAGATGTTCGCGAGTACCAAATCCAGAACAGAATGAAGTGATATGCTGTGCTGTGCTGTGCTGTGCTATGCTATGCTGTGGATGCGGCAGAGAAGGAGAGATGGGGTCGAGAGTAGGTGAGCCGTGTACCAGCTTTCATAGCATCGGCACCCTTTCTCAGAGGCCGAAACTGATGCTCGATTGCCGCAGCAGTCGTTCCATCGTGAAGGAGAACTGCCATTGCTGGGAAGGCGTTAACATCATCTCCGTCTCGACCCAAGAATTGTGCTGTGCTGTATATGCTGAAATACGAAAAAGCAGTGATGTGCTTGAACAAAAGGGAAGAGGGTAGATGCAAGTACTATGAGGATCATCGTGGATGCTGCACTGGATGACCCCAAAGGGATTGAAGCCACCTGGCGCATTCTTGGGATCTCTGCCAGAGCCAGGATAGAACATCTGGCTGCGCGCACCAGCCTTGAAGCGGAGGAACTGCCACTCCAGCTGGTGACCGGTGGTATCGCTACCCATAACTCGGGCCATCTCCAGAACTGAAGATCAATGCATGCTTTTCCACAAATAATGTGTGCTGTGTGTGCTGTGCTGTACTGGGAAAGAAGGGAAAATGCAAAGGCGAGTGTGTACAGCTGTTTTTGCCACCACTGGTGACGCCGCCTGCTCCAATGTTTAGGGTCAAAGGATCGAGGCCGGCATCGAAACACTCCTTCTGAAGCTTGGCATAATGTTTGATGGCGCGGAACTGGAAGCCAATGCCGCCTCCGGTGCTGTCGCTTCCGAAGTAGTTACTGATTTCTGCATTCAGATCAATATCGTGTCCGAAACATAATGTGCAAAAAGAGAAGGAAAGATGTGGCTGTTCTCTGCTGCGGAATTCAAGAAGAAGAAAATTTGTCTCGAGGCTTGCCCTTAGCAGTCTTGCTGGAGGAGGGAGCGCCGACGTCAAGATCCTTGGGATCCAGACCACTAGCTAACATCTCGACCTGCTTCTTGCCGAGAAGCTTCATGGCAGCGACTTGATGGGTGATGGCCTTGGGGGTGGCATCAGTGCCGAAGACACGAGCAGTCTCTGGAAACGAACAATTAATATCACAACCCAAGAATTTAAAGTCATAAACAAAACAAGTGCTGTGCTGTGCTGTGCTGTGCTGTGCTGTGTGCTGTGCGGTAATAGAAGGGAAGTAAATAGGATCTGACATCGGCCACCCGTGGCCCTCTTGCTGCCCTTGGCGCTGTACAGGCCGTCCAGGTTGAGATGCTTCGCGTCCTCTCCAGCGGCTCTCATCTCCACCATTCGATTGCCAACAGGCCGAATGCGATCGTTGAACTGAAATCTGAGTCCGCTGGGAGTGACGTCACTGCCCATGAGACTGGCCATCTCTGGTGATTATCAACATCGTGCTCGTGCTCGGATCGCAGATCAAATGTGCTGTGCTGGGCAGGGAAAAAGAGAGTAGATCTGGGGATAGGAGCCGGGTGGGTATCAATAGCCTGGAAATCCATGCTTCTTGGAGGTAGTCACAGACTAGAAACCAACAAAAACAAAAAAGAAACGAAAAGGAAAGAAAAGAGTGCAGTGCCTGACATTTGGCTTCCTTGCCAGCAGCATCCTTAGCATCTTGGGTAAGGCAGAGATCCTTGCAGTCTCCACCCGACTCCACGCATTCGCGGATACGCTTGACGTTGGGGCCAACATTGCGGTAGATGGCCACCCGGAGACCGTTAGCAGTCGTGTCGGAGCCGAAGTGCTTCACCATCTCTGGCTGTTATTAACGAGAGCTCGCAGGATAAAACCAATCAACAACAAACAACATCAAATAGATCAAGATCAAGGACAGAAGGGAATCTTGAAGTGCGCATGCATCAAAAGAGCCAATAGGTGTACCCTTAGCAACCTCAGTACCGATAGAAATGGTCATCGGATTCTTTCCGTCCTTGACACATTGGGCGACGAGGGTTGCATGTAGTAAAAAATATCGTTGAAAAGCCTTTTGGACAGCGCCCTTGCTGGTGTTGCTGTCATAGTATTTCGCAATCTCTGTGGGCTCAAATTAATGCAAGTTCGGCTGACAACCAAAGGGAATCGTGCAAGTGGGCTTGTGTAGGGGAGCGATGGTAATGAGCAGTTGAGGAGTACATTTGCCTCCATCCTTAGTATCGTCAAGAAGGTTAATCGTCTTCGGGTCACCACCAGCGTCCGCACAATCCTTGACGCGCTGCGCATCAGGCTTGAAGTGACGCCACATAGCAATCTTGAGCGAGTTCTTGGAGACGTCGCTGCCGAAGTACTTCACCATATCTGGTGGTTGCCGTCAATATCAATACCCCGCACCAGGATCATCGGAGAGTAGGAAATCGTGAAGTGCGCAATGTGTAAAAACAAGAAATATAGAAAGGCTACCGTTGTTGCCCCCGATCAGATCATGTTCGATACCAAGGTCCTTAGCATCACCGCCCGAACCATAGCATTCAGTTAGCAGCTTGATCGCGGGGCGGACCTGGCGGTTGAATGCATTCTTCAGGGAGCTGGGGGTTGCGTCTGAGCCATAGTACTTGGCGAGATCTGGAAGAAAGCCACCATCAACAGCAAACATGAGGAAGAAATGTAGCCAAGTTTAAATGCAAAAATAGAAAGCATGTGTAAGGGTGCAAGTGCGAAGCAGTACCATGCTTGCCAGCAAGCCACACATCCATCAAGAATCAGACTCAAGGGGATGGAAAGCAATGAAGACAAGTGCATGAAGTAGGTGAAGAAATACCGGTCCTTCTACCAGCCCACACCTGGTCGATCGCCAAATGCTTTGCATCTTGACCGAGTTCTTTGCAGGCCCTCAGTTTCTTGAGGACAGGAATCACTTGGCGATCGCAGGCACCGCGAATGGCGCCAGGGGTCGTGTCTGAGCCATAGCATGCTGCGATGTCTGAGATCCACTATCAACACATAGACAGAGGCAAGAAAGAAAGGTATAAAGCAAGAAAAATGTATCCAGCAAGCAAGCAGAGCGTGTAAGTATAATGTGATGGGGTATGATGTGAATGCCTGACCATTTCCTCTCTTTGCAACACTGCCATCAGTGTCTCCAATGTTGAGGGTGATAGGGTCGATGCCCTTCTGGATGGCTCCATTGATCAATTTGGCATCAGACTTGATTCGACGGAAGCGATTCTCGACAGCAGACTGGGTGCAGTCACCGCCGAATCTGGCCGAGATGTCTGATATACATCAACAGCTAAAACTGAAAATTGGGGTAGAAAGCAAATAATTTAACGGTGCAAGATTAAAAAGCAAACGCAGAAAGTAAAGCAAAGGCTACCTGAGGTCTTGGACTTCAGAGACTGAGCGCCGTCCTGAATCGGGACTTGGAATGGATCTTGACCGGCTTCAACGGCGGCGGCGATGGCCTTTGCGTTCTTGTTGAGGGTCCGAAACCGGTTCCAGACAGACTTGTAGTTGGCGCCATCACCATAGAAGCAACCAATGGCTACATAAATAGACGTTATCAGGGACGACAGAAATAATCAGGAACGACAGAATAAAGCGACTCGAAAAAATGTGTGGGAGTATGGACGACGTAGCGACGAAGATGTAGGAGTATGGATAACGTAGCGACGAAGAGAGGGCAAGGAGATGTTCCGCAAACGTACCCTGGTAGTTAAGCTTCAGGTCCGGATGGGCTGCAATGATGGCGCTCAGAAGGCGGACAGAGCTCTCGTAGGATTTCCAGTTAGGCATCTTGGCTGGAGTTCGGGGGATTTTTCTATGAACGTTGAAGGTTAGTGGTGTTGAACTCGAGAAGATGTGCGATGGAAGTTTGAGCCAAAGTGAGTGTGTCGAGCTGGGAAGGGTGGATGGATGAGGCGGGGGTGGAGGGTGATTGCTAAGTACCAACACCGAAGTGCTCGAAAGCCGAACTTCTGGGGAAATTCGAATAATTTGCGGAGACGACGATGCAGTTTGGTAGATGTAATCTGAGACGCAGACTCGAGTCTGTCTAGAGATGTGCTGTGTAAAAGAGGGGGGAAGGTGGTATGGCTATGGTGATTGAGAGCGGAGATGACAGGAAGGGTGGAGGCCGTGTCGCGTGTTGACGACGAGGCTGTGGAGAGATGGGGAACCGCGCAAAGGCGAGATGATGTGATGGGAAAGGGAAACAGCAAGTAGTGCAGCATCTGCTGCGCTGTATAGATGATGGTATGGCAGAGAGGAGAGAGGATAGCATGCGCCGAGGGAGATCAACTTGCCTTGTGTGGTGTTCTTTGGTTGTTCTTTGGTTGGATCGAGCTGCGAAGCTTGGGGTGCTGGCAGAGAAGATGATCAGCGAGAGTTTGGAGGACGAGGAAATACTGTGCAAGAGACGTATGAAGTAAGAAGAGCCTTGCCTTGGAAGTACTGTTGGAGTTGCGAAAACGAAGTGTGGAGATGTTGTGGTGGGAGGAAAGGAGGAGGAGGAGGTCGAGGTTGGGGGAGCGGACTTATGTAGTGGCTCGAGGCAGCAGCATTGGCGCTAGCGAAGGCGGCGAGAACGACAAGGAAAGCGAAGGTCAACTCGGAGAACAAAGAAGAGAATCAACAGGGGAGGTGTGAGAGTATGTTTGACTGTGTGAATACACAACAACAGCTGCATAGGAATTGCACTGCAAATCCTGCCTGGAAATCATGAACTGTTTGTCCTGCGGGCCAGTTTGAGTCAAGTCATACATATTCTGATGCCTGCAATCCACTCCACAGCTTTTCTGGTTCTCCTCCCTTCTCGTTGACATTGCTGCCTCTCTTGAAGACTTTTGAAGTTGCTGATGTCGTTCACAGTACCTCACAACCGTGCTCCAAATTAGCCGAGCATCTCTGCTTCTCACAACCATGCTCAAAATTAGCCGAGCCCCTCTGCCCAACAATCCAGGCCCTCGAATCCCTCCACGAATCTGCCTCCAGTCATGCAGACCTGTCGAGTCCTGCTATCGCATTGCTTCTAGCAGACATTTGCACATATCTCTCGGCTGGCGGCAGGCATCTCTGGGGAATGATCGAGTCTGCAGCATTGGCCAATGACAGGGCATGCGCAACCTGCCGTAAGACAAATTGATATTGGGCTTGCGGGGACAGAACCCTTGTGGTTCAATGCCTCAACGGCTATGAGCAATCATCTCCTCCCCCACATCGATTCTCAAGAAGTCGATCCCCCGAGTGCAAGAATATAATCTCTGAGCTTCCGAGGATGTCAGAAACTTCGTGTAATCAATGCCGACCGACTAGAACAGCTGCTCGTCTCGATCCTTGGGGGCAGCTCGTTCCGACGCCAATGCCGAAGGCTGTATCCGAGAAGAAGAGAAGTGGCTAATCGGGAGAAGAACAAGGTGCGGGGGTCCGATGGCAGATTCAGCGTTGCTTGCCATTCCGTTCATTGAGAAAAAACATACATCTACCCCTCTCCAAGACCGTGTGCAAGGCTGCTTGATCTGAGTTCATGACCCCTGACGACCGTTTCCCCGTCGCCATACATCCAGTACTGAAAGCCCAAGAAGAAGTCACAGCACATCTGGAAAATGCCACAGAGCTTGAAGGTCCAAGGGATTGCACTGGTCGCCGTGAAGAACCACACCATCTTCATGACGTCGCCCGCAATCCAGCTGGCAAGTACGGAGAACCGAAAGCCCTTGCACGATTGCGATCGGCGGTTCGAGAGGATCTGCGGGACGGGCAGGATGGCCTCGATCGAGAGACCGGCTATTCCAAGACTCGCAGAGTATATGGCATATATACTAGGGACTGTGGAAAGCACGAGTTCGTTGCACACGAGAGCAATGAACATATACAAAATGAATTGCCAGTATCTGGAGGTATCCTAGTCAGCGGGCGTACCGAATTTCGGCAAGGAGCTCTCACGGTTTGGGAGACCGCCATTGCCAGAAGTTGTACGGCCGTTGGATACCAGAATCCCCTTCTCTAGCACCAGCGAACGGGTTCGCCATTTCTCCCCCTCTCGAGGACGGGCCGGGTCGGTGGTCCAGCGCAACCTTCAACAGCACAAGCTGGATAGCGATCATGATGATCGATTGGATAAGGAGGGCCGTGTCGAACTGCGCGCCAGGGTAGTAGAACACTCTGCAGAACCTCGTTAGCACCCAGCCCAAACCGTGTTCGCTTGCTCGCTCCGTTCCCCCGGCACGTACTTGAAAGCAGATGCAACCAGCATGATCAACGGGATATCCAACGAGAATCCGGCACTAGATTTGTTCCTATGTATCGAATACGTCTGGTCCGAATAGGAGGTGATTGGAGACAATGCAATGAATAAGGGGGCGACCGCGCCCATAACCAAGGACACGACACCCATCGTTGACGTGGGGGCTGACCGAGAGCGCGAGGGGATAGAGGAGTCGGACCCAACAAAGGCGGAGAAGTACAGCTGCTACGCACGTCTTGTAGTTGTAGCTGCTGAGCAAAGATGGATAGGTAGATCGATGTTGGTGTTGATTTGGAAACGTTTAGAAGTCAGACAGGTTTGTCGAGCTAATTTCCGAATTGAGATCGAGAGTCGGAGAGAAAGACACCGATTGGTTAGACATCTTAGTCTGATCTCTCGGGCCGAGGTTTCTCCCTACTACCCTGTCACCTGATTTGCAGATCTGATTGAGTAAGATCAGATCAAAGGTACCTACGCAGACCTAGTATAAGGAAACAGTACGCCTATGATAAACAGAGTATTTTTCCATTAATCGCCTGGGCCACCCTTTTCATTTTTCCCCCTCCCCCGTAGAAGCCTGTCCATTCGAGGTGTCCAATTGCGTAAAGCACTTGAAGCACGTAAAGTAGAAGCCTCGGCCAAAATGAGCATGAAAAACCTCCACTTATTTCATCATAACCGAGGACGATCAACACATGCAGGTCTGCAAGAAAACATACATTCACAAGACAAAACTTACAATATGAGCAACCCTCCAAACCGATGCAAAACCAGCGCTGAAACTAGACTCGGTAGGCTCTAAACCAGTAACAAAGCTCCCTCCCTCTTTCACCTACCCGTCGATTGCCTTAAATATCATTCCAAAAAAAAAAAAACACTATAAAACACCGACCTAGGGCAAGGTCGGATTCTTCTCACGAAATTAAATGAAATTCAAAATAACCGACGATGAGCACCTATAAAAACAGCTCATCATACTCCGCATGCCCAGCTCTCCCTCTGTAGCTTCACATCAAATCACCCACTTACCTATTTACCTACTCAAGCCTTCAAGCTCAAGCCTCTATCCAAGCTTAAGCCTTCAAGCCAAGCAAGCGCCTTACAACCATACCTACCGTAGCCACACTCCATAAACAACCCCCTTGACCTCTCCCAACCTCCTCACCCCTCCCCTCCTCACCCCTCCTCTCACCTCTCATCTCCACTTAACACGGTACAGGCGTAAGTATTACCCCTCGAGGGTGCCTCAAAAGTTTAGCTTCCACTTTAAACCCCCTGTTTTCCCTACCCTCGAGGGGTAATACTTACGCCTGCGACGTAGTACATCCCAAGCTCTTACCACCCACCCATCACATCTCATCACATGAAAAGAAAAATAAATAAATAAATAAATAAATAAATAAATAAATAAATAAATAAATCAATCAATCAAT